CAGAGGTGCCCCCCGCCGACTCGGTTATTCCTGCTCGCCGCGAGGAGTACGTGGAGTCGACGGGGGAGCCTGCCTGCCGGGTGTGGACCGCGGTAAGTTCGAACTAAGGTACGTAGCTGAAGTTGCGTACCTTAGGTCGATTTGGGGGTTTAGTGTAGACCAAGCCTTAGAGGGGCCCCAGGACTCTCTGTTGCTTTTTACAGATCCAGACTAACACTGCTACCCCTCTGATACTTGACACCAGTCTGAGCTGCATCTTCCCCCTGGGCCATGGCCTGTTCTGCTCACTGTCTCCCTGCCCTTCCCCACAGCCACCTGCAGGAGGTGCTGGCGAGGCTGCAGCAGGAGAACAGGCACCTGAAAGGCGAAGTGGCCGAGCGGCGCATTGAGTGTGAGCGGCTGAAGGTGAGCAGGCGTAGCAGGGGCTGGGGGGTCCCTGCTACCAAGAGCTGCTGCTGATTTTGTGTTTCTTGTCCCAGGCTCTGCAGGGCAGCGGCTTAGCTGCGCGGGCCGTGCTTCGGCAGCCATGGCCCCTGCTCCTGAGCGAGGAGTGAGGTCCCTCCCTTCTTCCAGCCTGGCACCTGCACGATGGACCCCGCAAGGACTGTACACGGGACAGGCACGTCCTCTGCACCTACCTCAGCTACCCGTGCGGGCCCCGGGCCCAGCCTGCACTGTGAAATAAAGCCACGGGCAGAGGCTGTCACTGAGCACATGTGGTTTGGCCAGGTCGGCGGGGGGGGGCTGCAGCCCCCTCAGCAAACCCCGCTTGCCAGGAACAGCCCATGTATTTCAGCCATTAAAGGTGTTGCTAGTACAGCCCCCAACCCCTATCCAGCGTAGTCACTGGAACAGCTCTGCTCCCTCCTGCCACATCCCATCGCTGGAAGGGGTGCGGGCCAGGGACCGCGCGTAGCACCAGCCCTGAGGCAGTTTCCCCCCCCCCCGAGAGGTGCAGCGGCCAAGGCCCAGCCTGCAGCTGTGAACACCAGCCCTTGGCGCAGGCTTGCGGAGCAAACAGCCCGGCTGAGTACACTGCGATTTCGGTGGCCAAGGCCCTTGCTCTGACGCCAGGCCCCAGCGAGCAGCCGGGCCGAGCCAGCCCAGGGAGAGGATGCCGCAGCGCAGGGAGCCCAGCATTTACCATTGCCTGCTGTCGTAGGAGGGCAGCGATCAAGCCAATGGGGGGCTCAAAGGTCAGCACATCCCCTTTCCCCACAGCGACAGCCGGGCTGCTGCCTGTTCTCAGCCCAGGAAGGGCACCGCTACCTCAGCCTTAGTGGAAGCCGACAGCAACTGGCCGTGCTGGGCCCTGGACTGGGGCTGCAACCCACAAATCACTGGCTCTGGGAGGGAAAGGGACCAGAGTCGGGGGATGTGGCAGATGCAGGGCAGGGTTCTCCCCCAGCGTAGGTCATTCACCTCCCCGCGAGGCTGCAGGCAGGTGTGCACTGTCTACGCTGGCGGCGCGCTGGGGAACTTGCACCAGCCCCTCTCGTAGAGCCCTGTGATGCAGGGGCAGCTGATCCAGGCCGGAGCCATGCCAGGCGCGTGGGAGCTGGGCCTCACACATCGGTGCCCAACAGCTTGGGGCTGGCTTCACGCTCACACAGCCTTGGCTCCAGTCGTGTTCGCACCTGCAAGGGGCCCTGCCCCCGGCCCAGCTCCACGAAAGGCAGCAGGACAAAGCAAGGGCTGGAGGCCACCAACATTTATACAAATAAAATTATTTCTCCTCTGTAGCAAACAGTGCCAAGGTGTGTGCAGGTGGCAGGGCAGGGCAGGGCCCCAGCACCCCAGAGTCACATTTACACACAGTGGGGACAGCTCCCCGCAAGGAATCCATCAGCTCCAGGGAAGCGCCTGCTCACAGGCCGAAGCGGGCAGGAGTGCGGCGCGGCGTCATGGGCTCCCCCTGCTCCTTTCGCCCCGGAGTATAGATCTTCAAAGACCTGCGAGGGAGAGCAAGGGCCGTTAGCCACAGGGCCGGAGGGCCTAGAACCCTGCCGGCTAGGCCAGAAGCCCCAGTGCTAGACCTGCTCCCCGCCCCCTGGGCGCAACTCACAGCAGTCGTTATCCCCCTGCAGGAGAGAACATGCCACAGGCAGCCCGTGCCGCGGCCCTTTGGGGACAGCCCCTGCTGCCATGCCCAGCACCCACCTCACGCTGCCCAGGGGGTTGCGGCGCTCCTGCTCTTCCCGGCGCGCTCGCAGCTGCTCCTCAGCCAGAGCCATCTCCTCCTCCATGGCCGACACCTCCTCCTTGGCCCGACGGCGGTTCTCCTGCAGCGGCAGCAAGGGCAAGAGCTCTGAGTGCAGCGGCCCAGCGGCTCAGAGCTGGGAAGGGGAGAGGCCCATGGCATAGGCTGCAGCCTACGTCCAATCCTGCCTAGCTGGGTGCCCTGCGCAGCTCCCCGGGCCTGCCGGTGCGTGGGCGTAGCTGGGCACAAAGCAGGCGGCATCAGCTCGGCTGTGGGCAAAGCCCAGTCTCCATGGAGGTTGCCCCATGGGAAGTCCCCCCCACCCCCTTTGCAGAGCTATTGGCCTGCACCCCTGGCAGCTGGGAGAAGCATTACCTGGCGCGACTTCCCTGCATGCTTGATGCTGTAGAACATGGGGCCCAGCTCCGCTAGCCACTCTCCATCCACGGACGTGACACACTGCATGTACTCCTGGGGGGAGAAAGGGCAAGGGCAAGGGCAGGCCACGGGTCCCACCCTCCCCTTCCCAGGCACCACTGCCACACGGCACTGTCTGCCTCCTGTGGCCCCAACAGCCCCCTCAGCCCAGCACTAACCCGCATGATGGAAGGCAGAGCTCCTGGGGAGGGCCAGGCCCCAACCCCCCCGAGAACATCCCGCCCACCAGCAGGGAGGGCACGGCCCCAACCCCCCCACCCACACACAAACACACACACCCCCTGAGAACATCCCGCCCACCAGCAGGGAGGGCACGGCCCAACCCCCCCCTCCGCCCCCTACACACCCTCCTCGAGAACATCCCGCCCACCAGCAGGGAGGGCTCGGCCCGCTCACCTTGGTGGTCATGACCAGCTCATGATACACAATGTAGTCTGGAGTGTAGCCCATGCCAAAGAGAGAGCTGGTGGGGTGCAGGTGGCAGGGCATGCCAGTGCGGATGTTCACATACTCCCCGATGCCCTGTGGAAAGAGCCGGGTTAGCACAGCCCCGGGCAGCACCCTGCCCCTCCCGCGGCCTGCGCCCTGCACCCTGCCGCGGCCTGCCCCTCCCGCGGCCTGCGCCCTGCCCCTCCCGCGGCCAGCGCCCTGCCCCTCCCGCCCCTCCCGCGGCCAGCGCCCTGCACGCCCGACTTCACCTTCAGCTTGGCAGCCTGGTGGAAGTAGGCGGCACAGATGCACTTCCTGACGATGTCCCAGTCTGAGCCGCAGGACGCCAGGCTCATGCGCTGCTGCACCATGATGTCCTTCAACTGGGCACGCACCTCCCGCACCTGCAACAGCACATGACTGTCAGAGGCCTGCCCCACTTCAGAGGCCCCACCCTCTGCCCCCTCCAGGCCCTGCCTCCCAGCACGGCCCCACCTTCCTCATGGCCTTGGCGTGGATGAAGTGCTGGTTACACCACAGCATGGAGTAGCTGTTGTTTTTCCACTGCAGGTAAACGTTCAGGTAGGTCAGGTGATCGCTCTCCGGTACAGCAAACTTCTCCCGCACCTGGTCGCTCTCTTCCTCCCGGCCCTAGGTGGGAGCAGGGGGTGCAGGGTTAGGGCTGGAGGGGAGAGATGCCCTCCCCCCAGCCCGCACCCGAGGAGAGGAGGGGCAGCAGCACGCACCTTGGGCCGGTAGAAGATGGCAGGCACAGAGAGCATGGAGACGATGAGCAGGATCTCGGAGCTGCAGCCCATGTCACAGGAGACAATGAGCATCTTGGAGAGCGCCGGGTCCAGCGGGAACTCCACCATCAAGCGCCCCGTTGAGGTCAGGCCACCTGCCAGAGCAACACAGGAGCCGGTAGCAAGGCAAGCTCCCAGCACCCCCTACTCCCCCCCCCCCCTCGAATCCCCGGGTGCTCCCCTTCCTCCTTACCCGTGTTGTCCATGGCTCCCAAAATCCACAGCTGGTACATGGAGTTCAGCATGTTGTCCTCAGGGGGCGGGTCCATGAAGTGGAACTGCAGCAGGTCCTGCACGCCCAGAGACTTGAGCAGCAGCACCACGTTGGCCAGGTTGGTGCGCTGGATCTCGGGCACCGTGGTGGTCAGCAGCTCATTCTTGTAGGCGCTCTGGGTGTAGAGCCTGGGGAACCGATGCCGTGAGCGCCATTCCCTCCTGCCCAGCCAGCCCCATAGATAGCGGCGCTTCCCCCGAGCTCAGAGCCTCCTGCCCCGCCACGGCGAGCTCTCTAGAGCAGGGATCCCGGGCACAGGAGCTGCAGCTCCAGCTTGCCCTGCTTTGGGGCAGGGAGTGGACCCTGCACACACACCCAGCAACAGTGCAGGAGAGGCTGGGTGCACAAGGAGACGCCATCGCTGCAGCCGAGGGGGCCGAGGCACCTGGCTCTGCACCTGCTGCTCCCTGTGGTGCAGTCGGGACACCCCTGACATGGGAGCACCCCCTCCAAGGTGGGGCACTTTGGGGTGTGCACACAGTTCAGACTCGCCTGAGCTCCAGGACCCTTCCCACAGAGCAGCTAGAGTCAAGCCAACTGAGGGGAAGCAGCTGCTGTGTCCACAGCTCAGCACCCAAGGGGTTAATGCTGCGGCGAGGCGCCTACCTGAAGCACTGACCTGGGCCCGTCCGGCCAGCGCGACCCGACCTCTGGTTGGCGTTGGCTTGGCTGATGGGGTAGATCTGCAGGGCGTCCATCCCTATGCGGGGGTTGAAGACCTGGCGGGGCAGGCAAGGAGCTGTCAGACAGGGTGGGAGGTGCCGGGCAGGGCCCAAAAGGTGGCTACGCAGCAGCTCCGGGGAGCAGGGATCCGCCACCGGCCCTCGCCTCACCTTCAGCTTGCAGTAGCCGGAGTCAATGACAAACATGATGCCGTCCACAGTCAGCGAGGTCTCCGCAATGTTGGTGGCGACAATGCATTTCCTGACACCGTCCGGAGCCTACAACACACCAGGTGTCAGCGCCCTGAGGGGCTGGCAGCCCCCCGCTCCCGACGGACAGTGCCCCCCAGGGATGCAGACAAGGAGTGCCAGGATCAGCGCCCCCGGGGAGCGGTGGGTCCCTGGCTTTTACCTTCTGCCCAGTCAGACATCAGGTGCCCCCGCAGCAGGCCCAGCCGCTGCTCCCTCCCCCCAGCAGACCCTGCCAGGTGCTACCTTCTGGAAGATCTTGGCCTGCAGGTCAGAGGGCAGCTGAGAGTAGATGGGCAGCACAGCCAGAGCTGGGGCCTTTTCCAGTTCCTCCAGATGCTCCACGATCTGCTCCGAGGCCACCTGGGGACAGAGGGGAGTGAAAGCAAGAAAAGGCACAAGGGGACCGGGGGGGGGAGAGGCCTAGTGCTGCCAGGTCCCAGGGAGGGATGGGGGGGCCTAGCGTTACAGGCACACTGAGGTCACCTCGATGTCCTCCTGGCCCGGCATGAAGATGAGGATGTCTCCAGGGGCTCCAGACAGATGCACCTGCAGGGCCTGCTTCACCGCAGCCTCCACGTAGTCCTCCTGCGGGGTCTGAAAGGCAGAGAGCAGTTCGAGGGGGGCCTGGCTGCCCACAGCCCGAATCCCCCCCATGCACAGGACCCATCACACAGCACATCCACCTCCGCCCCTGCGCGGCCAGCCCTGCCCAGACCCCCCTCCCCCCACGCCCGCCCTGGGCACCTTGCTGAACAGGACATCCACAGGGAAGGTGCGGCCAGGAATGTGGAAGATGGGAACGTTCCCAAAGAAGGAGGCAAACTTCTCTGCATCCATGGTGGCCGAGGTGACGATGAGCTTCAGGTCCGCGCGCCGCGCCACCACCTGGAGAGACAGACTGCAAGGGCAGCAGGGGGCAGGGCCCAGGCAGGCACTGGGCTGACCATTCCCCCCCCCCCCCCCCAAACACTGTGAATGCAGCAGGGGGCAGGACCCAGGCCACTCTTCCCCCCACCCCCAACACTGCGAGGGGGGCAGGGCCCAGGCCACCCCCCCCCGACACACACACACACACA